TATACGGCTGATAGCTCTCCAAATGGTCCTAAAGTGAAACAAATCAAACACCTCCACCTGAGATGAACCAATGGTCGTATCCAAATCATATCCACCAGCTGCATTCGAATCAACCAACTCATCATCTACACCCAAATTCAAATGATCCCCTAACTATGTTACTTCAGCTAGAATCCCAAACGATGCAGTATAATCTGGAGTATGTGAAGTAATCTCTACCCAATGTGGAGTAGCATCACTCTCCACCCGCTATGATATATCTAAGGTCTGTCCAAAATTCTCCACCTGTTGAGAGTCAATTAGCTCCCTCATTAAAGCCTTAACCGAAGTGACACTACCAGACCAAACATCCAATAGAGTTTTACCTCCAATCACAGCAGTCGACAACCTATGACCAAGATGACCCAAATATGTCGAAGCCTCAACACCGGAATCAATGCTCGACATCAAACGTCGGTCCTCCTCCAGCAAGGAACAACTCACCAAATCTGCCATCTCATCTCGTTGTCTCAAGATTTTCTTTCCATCAAAGTGTCTCAAAATACCATGAGCTCGGCTCAAATGCAGAAACATGACCCTCTTATACTTCCCACCAAAATCAGAATGAAGTACCTTCATCTTTCTGTCAATCTTATACTTCTTCAATCTGTTGGAGACTACTAGGACTTTATCCAATCGGGATTTGGTTACAACCCAAGCATGCCTAGAATAGCCACCAACAAAGGAAACTAAATATTTATTACCTCCCAATGATGCCTCCTTGGAAGGCCCCCAAATGCCCATGTGAACTTCATCGAAAAGACCCTTCGTGCGGTGAATAGAGTGTCAAACTTCACCTCAGTCTTCTTACTCACATCCAAATGTTCGCTGGACTTTAAATTACAGGTCTGTGCACCCATCTCCAAATCAATACTAGAATGATAAAGCTCCAAATATCGCAGTCTAGTCAAATCAACAGACATCGTCAGCTCTCCACCTGTCACCGAACTTCCAATCAAATAGTACAGGTTATTCCTCCTGACGTCCTTCATCACAATCAAAGAGTCTTTCACGATCTCAAGAATCATGTCCTCAAGATGAACCTTAAGACCCTCTTCAACCAAAGCTCCAATTAAGATCAAGTTCTTTCTCAATAAAGGAACATATCTCATACTATATAACTCCCTAATTGTCCTGTCAAACATTTTGATACGAATTTTGCCTATCCTAAGGATCTGGAATGCACGGTTATCCCCCATATACACTACACCACTATCCAACTTCTCAAAACTAGAGAATCATTCCCTTCTAGGGTACACATGATAGGTCGCACCACTATCCAATATCCACTCGGATTCCTCCGAATAGCTACCTGTTGGACTGATAGAAAGCGAATAAATAGAAGTATTAGAAATATTATCATCTGATATAACGATATTTGCTTCTGATGATGGTTGCTTTCTTTTTTCCTTCTGCTTATTCTTTATCTATTCGTCGAGCTTTGGACAATCTTTCTTCCAATGACCAGTCTCCTTAAACCAAGCACACTGATATTTTCCAACTGGAGGATACCCTACTCTAGACTGTGACTTCCAATTCTTTCGATTTGAATTCTTTCATCTTGCGACCAACACCTCCGCTACTATCTCAATTGAAGTTTCATTATCCTTCTTTTGAAGCTGATAATTCACAAGTACAGCGGTGACCTCACTATACAAAAGAGATGCCTTCCCATTAATAAGAGTAAGAACTAAAGTCTTATATTCCTCGTCAGGCAAGGAACTCAACAACAACAATGCCTTGTCCTCATCTTCAATCATAACATCTACATTCGCCAAATCCACAAGAAGCTTCGTATAGTAGTTCATGTGATCACCAATGGAGGTTTCTTTCTTCAATTAGAAGCGATAAATCCTCCTCTTCAAATGCAAGCGATTCTCCACACTCTTGGTCAAATACTTACTCTCAAGGATCTCCCAAATCTTCTTAGTTGAAGTATCATTGATCACATCATACTTCAAATCTTGAGTTAAACAAGACCTAATCACACCACACGCCGTTCGATTCATCTTCTTCCAAACCTTCTCATCAATATCATCTGGCTTGCCATCCAATTCCAAAGTATCTTCCAAATTTTGTGTGTTCAGCGCATCCAAAACCGCACATCTCCATAATCCAAAATTGTTCGTGCCATTAAACTTCTCCACATCTATCTTCGTAAAGTGGATATTCAAATTTTGAATGGTCTTCACACCAGAAGCACCACCCTCAACACCCGAAATACCTTCTTTCTCAGTCATCTTCCTCAACACACCAACAACCAATGCGAAATAAACTAAAGAATAGATCCAAAATTGAGAAAAGATATATATTTAACCAAAAAAGATCCCACATTTAACTCCAAACGAATCCCTAGCCGAACTTCCAAAGTGATCTACTCCTCCAAATAACCCAAGCGTAGCCCGTGCTCTAATACCACTTGTTATGCGCAGCGGAACAAACGCAAATGCCGAGAGAGAAGGTAACTCAAATCAAACAATAATGGAACCAACTCAAACACAAAAGTTTAACGTGGTTCGGCAGATTGCCTACGTCCACGGGGCAAGAAGGAATGTGTTTTCACTATAGAGAAAAAGAGTACAAAGTAGAGATTACAAGATCACTCAACTAACCTCTCTCTCAAATCTCTCAAATCTCTCAAACTAAACCCTCAAAAAAATTGTTCAGAAAGATCTCTATTTTCCGTGCCCAAAATCACCTTCAGGCTATCCAATCAATCGATAGAAAACCCTAAAAAACGTGGTTGCTATTTATATCAAACAGCAAACACAATCAGTGCAGGAAACCAAGCCCAGGCCTAAAACCACATCGCGGTCGACCATCGCGCCAATCGCGGTCGACCGTGGCAAACGACAGAGAACAAAAAACCACTACAGGATCTCGTGGTCGACCGCTGCACCACTCGCAGTCGACCGCAAAAGTCCAGAAACTTTCATGTGTTCGTGCATGTCCGCGGTCGATCGCAGCTCCACTCGCGATCGACTGTCCGCGGTCGATCGCAGCTCCACTCGCGATCGACCGTGCAGCATCCAAAACGTTTTCTGCTTAAATTTTTCTGAGCTTCGTTGCCTTCACATCCAATTCTACAAATAGCATGGATATCGGAATGATAAAACTTCATTCATATGTGAGCTCCTCGAGTGGTGAATACTATGGATATCATAATGATAAGACTTTTTCTTTAACTTTTTTTTTGCTTCACCAGTAAGAATATTGCAGCACAAACTAATAGTCTGATTAATTTTGTACTCAGTATGGAACTCCAGTCGGAACAAAATGAGATATGCTGATAAAATATTACAGTATATGTTGTTACCCTTCTCTAGAAACCCATGTATTTGCTACGATATGATTCTTCAGCCCAAGTTCAGCCTAACCCAACCCAAGGCCCATCATGTGACGTTGACTTCCCGTCTTTTTCGCGCTCCGAAAAAGAGTTGCGGCCAGCAAACATGCTAATGGCCCATCTTGGTAAGCTTCACATTATCCACAGTAACAAGAAATAGACTGTCTTGACTCTTTAACAAGCCTACTTCATCCTCACATCTAGAAGAATGAGAACTCAACTTACTTATTAGATACAAAATATTTATCTATAAATATGTAGATCGTGTTGAAAAGTCTGATGTATTTGATCATGGGTGTAAGCCTTTCTTTTTTTTGCTGGCAAGAGAAACCTGGTCACCCCAGCTCAATTTTACTCCCTTTGGGAGTCCCGCCAGCGGCCCTTGATCGATTCCCCGTGGTCCCCAATTTCCTGCAAGGAGCTACCCTTGCTATCAGGGTGCAAGTCTTTTGATCAGCAAAACTATAAAGGCCCTCGAAGGAGTCAAGCCAACTCCTCCCTTAGAAACATCAATATATTTAGGTTTCGTTGTTTGGATCATGTCATAATAGGCTTCATAGATACGTGACTGTCTACATATTCTATGTATCAACACCAATAATTGTAACTTTTACTCAACCCTATCACCTACCAGCAAAAAAATTATCTTTTGAAATTTTATTCACTTTGAATTCCCAAATGAGAAAATAACTTCCTGCTTCCTCCCAATCTCACTTTTGCATTCCCCAATTTAAAATTTTAAAGAAGATATCTTTTATGAACTAATTAGCAAAATCGATATTTTTTTGCGATGTCACTACGGCTAGCCAAAAAAAGATTAGTTTTGCAAAATATAATCTTTAAAATATACGGGAGTAGTCTTGTGTATTTAACGGTTACTAATTATAGGTTAATAGTCATGTGTATATTAAAAGAATAAGATTAATTCTTAATTAACTATCTCTAATATATAGGACCAGTAGTTCCATGTACTTTAAAAATTATATTTTGTAAAATCAACCTTTTCTTTTTTATCAGGCGTGATGATGTGGTGGGGAAAAATATATTTTGCTAGTTAATTCATAAAAGTAGCGTCAATTTTGCTTGCTTCTTCGTCGTCTTTTTCTTTAACGGTCTTTTTTTAAAATTCTTACTTCCCAATTTCCCTGCAATTTCCAAATCCCCAACGTTTTTACCCCAGACCAGCCCAACCCAAAGAAAAAAGAACAAAGAGAAAAAGGAAAACAAAAAAAAAAAAAATTCAACGCGTTCTTTTGGACTGCCCTTTCGCTCACCGGCCACCGTCGCTCTCCCTATATTTAATGCCCCAGTTAGCCACCGGCCGGTGACCACACCTCCCCAAAATCCATCTCATTTTCCTCGTGCAATAAACGCTGACTCTTTATTCCGTTTTCTCAGTTTCCTCCAATCCCAAGAAACGAAGCTCTCAAAAAAACCCTACCTTTCCTCGATTGCGGAGCTCCGAGATCCAGAAACCCTAGGCGCCGAGCATGACGAGCTCCGCCGCCGTCAGCGCCTCTCGCCGCGGCGTTGAGCGCGAGGTTCGCTGGTGGCGGAATCGGAGCGCGTTCCGGAGCACGAGGAGATGCGGCGGCGAGAGGAGGAGGGGGATCCTGTACTGCGCCGCCGAGAAGTTGGGGGGATCAGCAGTCGAGAATGGATGAGAACAGTGTAAGATTTGATGAGTATTGTGGAATTTGATTGAATTAGTTTTGAAACTTATGAATAGCGTAAGTAATTAGATGATGCATTGCCTCAATGACAGTAATGTAAGATTTGATTAGCTCTAGTGGATTCAGTTGAGTTAATTTCGAATAGTTGTTTCGGTCTTTTTGAGCTGTTCTTTGTTCCAATTAGTAATTGGTTAGTATTCATTTTGTTGTTGAAATTTGGTGTGCAACAATAAAAATTGCATTTTATGTACTACATTATGGGGAGAAAAAAAGGAAGCAATTAGGGGATGCGTATCTTAATCAATGATGAGGCTATTAACTGAGCTTGTATGCTATCACATTATGAAACAAGGAAACAATTAGTTGATGCATATCTTAATAAGATCTGGATAGTTCTTCTACTAGTTGAGGATGATGATGGATAGCTTCTAGATGAGTTTGATGATAGAGGAAGTTATGTAAGTATTGCCCTTAACATTGATTACCGTGCAAGCAGAAATTTTCAAGGGTTGTGTAGAACCAATTAAGGATGGGATCAAATGTTTCTGCTTAATCGTTGTGCATTTGGAGAATCTCAAGGGTTGCTTATTATCCATGGGCTATCTCTCCTCCTCTCCTAATCAAAACCCTATTGCGAGCCCTTTTCGGACCAAGGCCTGTTTCGTTCTTAATTTGGCAGAACAACCAGTGATTGCTTGACCCTATCTAAGTACTTTTTGGCATGGGTGTCGCTAACATTGCCTTCGAATATGAATAGCATTTGGGCTGCGTGTCAGGTGTAGCTAGATTCAAGACCCACATAGAATTGAGTTTTGATCTAACATACTCTTGGTCAAAGTGAGTCTTAAGCTCAACCTTGTCCATCATTCAATGCTCAGATTATTGATCATGAAAGTCATATATACTGTTGTGTTGTGCAACCATCAAAAACACCCTAAAACTGTAAGCTATTATGCTATTTAAGCATAGCACTTAATAGGACATTTGAAGGGGGAAAACGATTTTCTTAGCATCTTAGATCCCACCATTTGTATTGTCAGCCAATATGTCTTATTATCCCTCTTCATGTGTATTAAATGTATACTTGACTGTCGTTAGATGCCTGGTAAGGTTTGCACATTCAGCTGACATTTACACACATTGCCCTCTACTGAACACACTCAAAACAATCTGAAGTATGAAGCAATCATCATCTGTTTTGTCCTCAAGCAAAGCTAGCTCCAATTTTGTGTTAGTACTTATTTATCATCCCATAATATGGTGTGTTTACATCTCTCTTTTATGGTTAATAATTTGTTTTACACAAATTTACATGCCGAAGTTTTACTAGGAAGAACATACATACCAAGGGAGCTCATAGTTTTACTACTGTAGAGTTCACATGTACTGTGGAAAGTTTTAAATGTAGAAGCCAAGCAGCATTGAAAGTTGGTTCTAACTACTTACTTCTATCAATGGTTCAAATGCTTGGAAGATTAAGACTTGGTTATTGCCAATGTTATGGAAAACACTAGGCGGCCTAGGCATCAGACTGGGTGCTTAGAGCCTAGGTGGGGCCTAGACGTTTTTTAATTACAATCAATGTTATCGAAAGTGCTAGGTACCGTTACGTGCCAAACTGGCATTATCGAAAGCACTAGGTGTTGGGTTTTATACATATAATTCAAAATTAATCATGCAGTGGAAATAAAATAAAACCCAAGCAGGATCCATGCGATCCAATTGATTCAAAATGAATTTTAGATTACGAACCTGTTTGTGTGCAGATTACCGAATTAACACCTTAATTCGATCGGACTCTAAGTGCTGCTCAAGGAACGAACGCCCTCTATCAGTATCCATACACGAACGATCACGAACGGATGCAGGGGTGCTAGCTCCTTTCTGCGTCGACTAGGGTTTTTTTTTAATGAGAGATGATCAAATCAGGACATCACAAAAGTCTATATATAGTCATGTTAACCATAACGTGTAGAGAAATATTTTGGGGATATCTTGTTCAAAATAACAGAAATTTATTTTTCATTCAGATAATAAGAAATAATATTTTATCTCTAAAATATCTCGAAAATAATAGATTTTTATTTCGAATTTTACATTTAAAATTCGAAATTGCCCAAAGAAATCCTAGCATGTTCATCACGTTCTTTGTGTGCGACCCAATAGGTTCATATTATGTTGGCAGTAGGCTCAATCCCATTATAAACCCACAAGTCATAAGTGGCCTCTAGCAAGACATTATGACTACCCAAATAATATAAATATCGATAGTCTGATTTTAACCTAACCAATAGTACATGTTATAATTCTTTTGTCACACGATATCTTATTTGAACATAAGTCATGAGACATGTTAAACTTATATTGTTCAAACATATAATTTCTCGATCACTAAGTAGACTGATAAATTCAAATGACATTGATTACACTATCAATTCATTTGAGCATGACCATGTATTTCTCATTCCTACTTATCGAGGGGCCCAATAGATATCTCTCTCATAAGAGGGACAAATTACATCTTCATTATTGACTATCCTTTGCATAATTCTCATCATGTCCAATCATAACCTTTATGATTATCCGATTAAAGATAACGTTTGATTATGTTAAAACACGATGTTCCTCATGTAGGAATCTGTGATAATCTCAGATCTAATGATTCGATAACATAACTATTATGAGATCACTTATGACACTAACCCATGTAGTAATCTCATAGTGGCTCTATCTAATGCCTTGTTCTCTAACAAGTACCTACATGTTTGATTTATATCACCATATATAATCATCTCATGTTTATCAATCAAAACCCATACTAGTCTTAATTTATCTTTATGCCTTTTAGTGATAAATAACTAGGGATAACATGAATAACATAGTTATTATTCATAAACATTACAATAATGTAACATGCCAATAATACTAATGTGAAGAAAACTTTTCTTTAAATGAAAATATAACCATTACATCAAGGTCCAAATATTTGGCCTAGGGCATAACCACTAACACTAGGCACCGCTAGGAGGCTTTTTTTCTATTTAAGTGATGGCAGAGGAGGTTTTGCTAAAGATCGGAGGAGTTAGAGGAGGTGTTCATAGTTGGTGGAGGCAGGAGGAGTTCGGAGGTGGTTAGAGGACGTGAAGATAGCAACAAAGGGAATCATGATTCACGACCAAGACTTAGAAGTACAGTCCACATAAGCAGTCTCCGCTCCCCTAGTCGCTTTCAAGACCTAGGTGGGTGGAGCCTTAGTGGCCTAGATACCGCTTAGGCCTAAGCGGGAGCCTAGGTGGGCTAGACGAGAGCTTTTTAAAACATTGGTTATTATTGATGCACATGAAATGTTGGTTAGGTTTTTTCTTATCTTGATTATCATTTTCTACTGTTATTTTACCAGAATTCACATATGCCTAAGAATTTGGGAGCGGCACGGGAGGCCAAGGATGAATCTGATGTTCTTATTGAGTGCCGAAATGTACGCAAATCTTTTGGAGAGAAGCAAATTCTGAAAGGTGTGAGCTTTAAGGTGATTTTCATGTCCTTTCATAGTTAGTAAATTCTTGATTACTAATGCAGTAAAAATAAGTGTTATAAGCACCTTATTTCATATAGTTTTTAGCAAGCTGGGCAGAGTATGCGACCCTTTTGTTCTCTCTGAATCTGTGGGCTAGATGGTATTAGTCAAGGAAAAGCATTTCTTGCATTGCGTCTTTTTGTCATATATTTATGGACCGGATGCTTGCAGTTGAACCCTATAGATAGATCTCATTTACTATCTAAAGATTCTAAACACTTTATTGTGACTATTACCATTTGAAAGAGGAAGAATTAGATGAGAATTTGCTTGATTTATTTCATCTTTTAGATTAGACATGGGGAAGCTGTTGGAATAATTGGACCATCAGGAACGGGCAAATCGACAATTTTGAAGATTATGGCAGGGCTTTTAGCTCCTGATGAGGTATTGGTGGATCCTGCTGTTAACAGAGCTTTTATTGTAGGCTGATAATTAGCTTTCTCATATAGGCTAATTTTCTACATTATAAAATGACATTTTTGGGTTATTTCCTTTACTTTAAGCAGGGTGAAGTTCTTATTTGTGGAAGAGAGAGGCATGGTTTGGTTGATGATGAAGAGATATCAGGTCTCCGTATTGGCTTGGTATGTTTATCCTCAACTCATGAACTTAGAGATGAAAAAACTATTTATACTGAATTATAGTTAATATGTAGTTATGATACATATTTTCTCTCTGAGCTCGGTGTGAGGCACCCTTACATTTTTAAGTTTTAGCTTAACATTTCAAGTTCTGACGGGTCTCTTAAACGTCAATAACTAATAATATCACATATATTTGACTCATGGAATTCTGTGTATTCAAAACAACAATATTGAAGTTGAAACTTGTTTGACAGAATCCTCTGTTTGAAAAATGTGCTGGTATTTTTTTATTATACTGAATTCAGTTAAAGGCACTTCATTCTGAAACTATACCTTAACTGTAATTTCATTATAGTATTTTAATTAATTTTTGTCAATTTTTTCATACTCAAAGAGAAACATGCTAATTTTTGTCATAAGAAAGAATTAGAAAGGTTTGGAGCACTTTGTGCCACTTTCGTTTCTTGTATATTGAAGCGGAAAGTGAACTGCACTTCTCTGTCCTTTGCTAAGCTTGGATTTGATGGGAAATGGTATTTAGAACCAATGGTTGACTTTGAGTTAGGTCTCACAAATAAATGTACATTTATTGTCAAAATCCAATAGGGTTAAAGGTGATGGTTGCTTTTTGTGTTCATGAAGATTGAAGAGTATATTCTGATCCTCATAGTTAACTACCCACATTTATGTGGTGTATATTTTGGTCCATGGAAGACATTGTGGCCATTAATTTGGCAGTAGATTTAGCATAGGAAAGTCTTTTTTCTGACTAATCATTGAGCACATCTTACTGGGTCTGACCAAGCTGATACTTAAATTTTGCTGGTGCAGGTATTTCAAAGTGCAGCACTTTTTGATTCCCTTACTGTTCGTGAAAATGTTGGTTTTCTATTGTAAGTGCAATCACAAAAGTTTTTCAGAAAATCAAATACTTGGTTTACTTTCCAAAATGGCTAATCGTGTTATATTCGTTCCTTCTCCTCGTTTCTGCCTGAAGATATGAAAACTCCAAGATGGCAAAGGATCAAATAGCCAAACTCGTCACAGAAACTCTGGCAGCTGTAGGGTTGAAGGTACATTTAGTACTATAGGTTGATTTATTTCTACTTTGTTTCAACAAATTGTTTGTTTTGGATTGAAAAGTGGGAAAACATTATCATGCATGTGCAATTATTGGGATGGAAACAATCGCCTCTAGTTTGCGCTGGGAACCACCTCAAACTATCCTAACCACCATGATTTGCTATAACCTTTTTCTACTAAGCCCTTGGTAGCTAATATCTAATTGGAGCGACTAATCTGTACAAATGTAAGTTTCTAACACATCTTTAGAAAAAATTGCAGATTTCCATAAATACAATTTTGTGATGTTTTAAATTCTACTGTGATTAAATGTTCGACTTTCATGCAAACTGCTTAAGCAGCTTGCTTTGTTTCATTTATGCAAGATTCTTTCAGTTTCAGTTAAGACACCAGACAATGGCATCTATATTGTTAATGTGATTTTGTGTAACTTCTGTTCATGCTAACTTAGAGAATTACCTCCTAGAACTACAGTCGAACATAATTTACTTTATTCAAAGAATCATAGCTCAATTTTCTCTTTTCAGTTTTCTAGATAATCGCCATATTGTTCCCATAAATACGCTTCAATATCTTGTCTCTGTGACGTCACTATATTGTAAACATGTCAAAATGTCTTTGGCTATTCATAGCTGCTGCATCTTTATTTGAGAACAAGGCAGCTCTAGTCCAAACATTTCCTGTGGACTCTTTTATTTTCTTTCTTCTCTTCTCTTTTTCAACAAAGAAACTTTTCTAAGATTAGAAGCAGTACTAAAAGTTCCAGATGATTTTGCTAAACCTAAAATGTCTTGTGCAAGAGTGAATATCTGCCTTGCACCGATTCCACTAAGTTTGATATGGTTGCTGGAAGCTTGTCTTATCAATTCCTCCAATCTTTGAATTCTAATTTTACCCTCGTGGTTAGACAATATTTATGCTTTGCCACTACTTCTTTCAACAATAAATGTTTATCATCTATAAATAATTTCTTTCTGAAGGAAATCCCTCTCATAATGATTTACCAGTTTCTTGTAGTATAGTACAAATGGCCTAATCATCTCACCATCATTCAAATCTTAATTTGTCTAGGTAATGACTAATGAGTTCACCTGCATCCTGTCATTAGATGCATGTTCTCCACCTTATGTTTCACTCTGCTTCTATATGTGGATTTTACGAACCAATGTAAATTCCTCCAAGTTATTATCCAGTTCAATCACAAATTATTTTTTTCTTATAGGATGTTGAAGATCGTTTGCCTTCGGAATTGTCTGGTGGCATGAAAAAACGTGTAGCGTTAGCTCGATCTATTATCTTTGATAACACAAAGGAGGCAATTGAACCAGAGGTATGTCCGTGAGTAGCTTTGAATTGTGCACTTAATTTCAAACTAGCAGACTGAATTGGACAATAGTGGTGGCATATCACCGCGTATTGCAGTGGATTTATATTTATCAATTCAGACGTAGCTTCCTAGAAAATGCATTACATGACAGTGTTGCTATCAATTTATGGCATCATCTTAAAGATATTATAGACTTCTGTTGGCTTAAAGTTAACAGCATTTTTTTTTCCTCTTACAAAAGTTCATCAGATTCCCACTCAAAACACTATTTCGTTGGGAAGAATTACTTTATGTGAAACAACTGGATTCCCGTTTTGGATTATTAGGCACCAATCATTTAATTAGTTCAGGCTGGAAATAAGATCCACGAAAAACAAAAGCATGATCCTATCTTTCAGTCTTTATTCCTCTAATAGTAAGTGTTTGACTGATAAGCAAAAGGTCAAAAAATCTATAGAAAGCAATTTCATATCTTTCTTTATTCCTCTAATAGTAAGTGATTGACTGATAAGCAAGTTCAAAGAATCTATAGAAAACTCGGAATCAGGATAGTCTGAAGAAAATTGGCAACAGTTTTTAGCTGTTCAGAATCTTCAGATTTTATAATTAACAAATATTGCCAATAAGGAAGAGAGATAACTGAAATCCTATATCTTTAATGTTACAGTTTCAATATCCTTTTTTTATTTACAGGTCCTTTTGTATGACGAACCTACTGCAGGACTTGATCCCATTGCATCCACTGTTGTCGAAGATCTCATCCGCTCTGTGTATATAAAAGGAGACGATTCCCCAGGAAACATCACATCATATGTGGTGGTCACTCATCAACATAGCACCATTAGAAGAGCTGTGGACAGGTATTCTATTCTCCAAACTTCTTGAAAGGTTTCTTTTTTTTACAGATAACTGATTGTTCCGAAAATGAAAAGGTATAAGTTAAATAAGTTTTAAAAAGTTGCAGATAAATTGAAGAAAAGAAAAGGGTAGAAGCATATAATTTTGATTCACAAACTGCAGATAAACTGATGGCTCTAGGAATCAAAACCCTCTCTCTCTCTCTCTCTCTCTCTCTCTCTCTCTCTCTCTCAGAAAGGAAAACAAGGAACAGGAGTTTCTTTGCTGTTCTTTTCTCCCCCTCCCCCATCACCGAATCATCTCCAGTAGTTGATAGCTTAAATGGAAATATTGAGCTGGATGAATGTAATATGCTTAAAGATAGAATGAGAAATGAAGGGTTGATTGGATCATTGGTCGCCGTATTTATCTCATAATTGGATGTTCGTACCTATGTTTTAATTGCCTAGATGGTTGGTCATGTAATTAAATAACAACGGATTGTTAATCATTTCTAATGTTTTTTGCCAATTAACATTAGGGATTCTCGTTGATGTGATGTAAAAGAGTCTTGTTCATTTGACCCAACGGATTTATTCCTATGTGTTATCTTGAGCACTTGTGGAAATGAAATTTGGGATATATTGGTCAACTTGTATTGGGTAATTATATAGCATTTGACCAAAATTTTTTCTTGAGAATAGTAACTCATGATATATTGAGTAAACTATATTGTTTTAAAATAAATTAAAATATAAACCTTAAATTTTCGGAAAGTGCTAGAAGTGACCAAAATTCCAATTAGTATTTAATTACCTGACCAATCATCCAAGCAATTAAAAAAATGGGTAAGAACATCCATTTATGAGATAAATACAGTGAGCAGCGATCCAGTTAACCAAGAAATATGTATATGCATAAGAAATAAGAAGAAGCATCTGAGGACAAAATGCAAGAAGCCCAGTTAAGATGATTGGACTTCGTTCAAAGACAAGGGATTACTGTGCCAATTAGTAGGGGCTTCGGCATACTCATTGATGCGGTAAGTGGAATACGAATAGACCTTAAAAATGTGAGTTGAGGGCCTTAAAGCAGTGGCAGATGTTAACAAAACATAGGATGAATGGAGAAAAATCATTCAGGTACCAATGGTTTTGTATAAAGGTGGCATTGTATATGTTGCTTTTGGAAATTTATATAGACTGAGATCAGAATTCCTAACTGTTAGCCTCTTAATAATATTTTCCAGGTTGTTGTTCCTACACGAGGGAAAGATTGTTTGGGAAGGAATGACCCATGAATTTGCAACTTCGACAAATCCAATAGTTAGACAGGTAATAATTTCAGTATGTTATTCAGCAGCATTCAGCCTCTACTAGAAAATTTAAACCCTGGAATCCAATTTTCTGCTTCATTTTGCAGTTTGCATCAGGTAGCTTGGATGGGCCAATCAGATACTGAAAGTATAGTGGCAATGTCTTGCATTCTGCCAAGTTTTTGTATGAAAGGCCCGATATTATGAAATCAATTCTTAGCTAAGGAGGTAAAATTATAATTTGGATTATTTCCCCCCTTGTTAGCTCGAAGTGTGAATTCAAGTAGTGAACAAATTGAAGGAAATAACATTGATTTCTCAAAAAGAGAGGTTGAAGTTAAGCCCTATTGTTTTTGTTCGTCTGATTATTTACTTGCATTATTCCCTATATTGTATAACTAGGTTGAAGTGTTCTCTGAGGCTCAACTAAGTCTCTGCCTATACATTTTCTTGTACGCAAAGGTTTAATATTAATAGAAGTAACCATCACAAAAGCCGTCTTGTAATTACAGTAAACCTATGTTAATAACTTCATTTTGTGATTTATTTTACCTTCTCGAGATGGTATTATTTTGCTCTGAGCTTGCTACTGGATTCTATCCTTGTTTATGGACTGTAATATACCACATTAATATTGCTAATAATACCATTTCTCGTGCTATTGATTGGTTTTCTGAAACTGATACTTGCATTTCCTCAGCTACTCCTGTTGTTGTAAGTGGTTAATGCTATGGCAACAAAGAAGGGTTAAAATGGTGGATACTTTTATTTTCAATCTCTTTGACAGTTTTTCCTGTCATTAATTTTTCTCGAGAAATGCTTCAGTTATCAAACTCGGTTACTATACCATCACTCTTGTGTACCTTGATCTGAAATCTCAAGGGATAAGTGTCATTAGAACTTCTGCTTGTTGTTAGAGCCCAGTTATTTGATTCGGATTCAGGATCCGAGTTACATTAGCAGGCTCCATTGCTATCCTTAGTGAACATCACTTGAAGCCCAGAACAATAACAACACCAGCATTCTGACGCGCATAATCAAATTCCTTAGAAAAAACACACGAAACACAGAGGGGTAAAAAAAAAGTCTTAACCAAATGAGGGAAATGAAGCCACCCCCATCTGAGCTCCTACTATCTACATTTCAAATAGGAAAACTAACCAAATCCTCCCTCTCCCCATCTTGGGCACATCTAAAAGCCAATTAAAACCCTTATTTTCCTTCACAAATTCTAACAATAATACTTGGTTGAAGGAAACTCAAGCATTGCTGGGATTGCTCCTGAAAGATCCCAGAGCCTTGACAGCACCAGCTCTCAGCACGATCTGATGGTATCCAGCTGCAATTGCTGCTCCAATGAAGGGCCCAACCCAAAATATCCACTGCAGGACAGAAATATAGACAAACAAACAAACAAACAAAAACTTTATATATGTACTTATCCACTAACATTAGAAATTTTGGTGTAAATTTTGCAAGATTTCACCCCTATCTAACCTTTATATTATCCTGGAGTAAATGTAAAAAAAAAAAGTAAAAATGGTAGTCCAGACTTTTTACGAGAGGTTTAGTAAAAATTTTGAAACTGCAGGGGTTTTTTTTCTGCAAATTAAAAAAAAAAAAAGAATATTTCATTCAATTGCATGGCATTTATTATTCTTAAGCTCGGTGCTGCATGAGACATCTGTGGAGGGGCATCATGTGATCTGTCAAGAGATGTTTGTGAGGCATGGGCCCCATCTTCACATGCGATGTTGCTACGTGAAAGCATGCTTGCTACAGGAAGGGGTAGGAAAAGGTTGAAATGCATCATTTCTTTTAAATTAATGATAGGGGACCCAACCGCACCATCTTTCTTGCTATAATGTACGGGTCTACTTGAGATTTTAAAATTAAAATTTCAAGTGGACACGTACACTGTAACAAGAAAGATGGTGTGGTTGAGAGTGTGTGCCTCTGGTGCCTCTCTTTTTGTATTTTGTGGCTACTCTTTTTGGTAATATAATCATATATATGACCCTTTTAAGACACTAACTAGGCTAGTAAAATTTGATAATTTTGATGGAAAATAATGGCGGTAAAATAACGAAATATCGAGATTAATATGGATAAAAAAAAATTGAAAGTACGTACCTGATCATCCCAAGCTTTGTCAGTGTTGTAGATAACTGCAGCTCCAAAACTCCTAGCAGGGTTGATGCCAGTCCCGGTGATTGGGATGGTGGCCAAGTGTACCATGAACACTGCAAACCCTATTGGAAGAGGGGCCAACACCTGCAAGGAACAGAAAATCGATAAAAAAAAATTCACACCAAAGTAAAAAGTAAAATAAAAAGAAAAAAGAAATTTATGGTGAATTTTCCATAAATCAATGCGACCTACTGGCCTTGCTTTCAACTCGTCTCATTCGCTAGGGTCTCTGTAGTACGTGAAGCTATAAAACTGAGGAGTTTAGGTTGTCAAGTAAATGGGCCCGATATATATAATGACTTATGGTAACGTTTGAGACAAAAAAAGTTACTGTAGTACATAGTAAAACAACCGGTTTTCGATCGAAGGGCTAGGGTTAGCTTAGCCCTTTTTAATTAAATTAAATGGAAGTGATTCTTAATCTTAATTAGGATAATGAATTGTACATGATTAACTATGCATTGAGCGTAGATGCCCTTGCTTGAAGCCGAAGTAGGGGAAAGTTGTTGGGGTATGACGACGAGTTGGGCTAGTTTTGTCTTTTGCTACTATCTTTTCAGAACAAGACAAATTACGATAGCTCGAGCGTGTTCGTGTTTTGTTGTAGCCGTCCAAAACAAAAAACAAACGGTATAGAAGTATCAAACCACGTGATCAGGATCTGTTTGTTTGTTTGTTTTTTCTTTTTAATTAACGGAAATATGTTATGAATTTGTTTTCAAATTATTTTTGTAATATGTGGAACTATTATGTGTCGCTTAATAACATGACTCATCCCATATTTTGTTTGTTTGACATTACTTCGATTGCAATACTCATCCCACGTTTTGTGTCATACACACATCGCATGGAGTATTAGTTGTCAAAAAGAGAAAGATGTGGGCTTCTTACAGAAGAGGGGTAAAACTTAGTGGCTTAGTCGTTAAAAAAACAATGAAAGTAAGAAAGTAAGAAAGAAAGAAAGAAAACCGAGGGACTTTTAAAAGAGAGGGGTGAAACTTAAGGGCTTCTTTGTTGAAAATAGAAAGTTAAGAGCGTAAAAGATGGCTAAAACTTACGGGCTTTCTAGATTATGTTCTTTGCTGAAGAGTGTTTGGAATTACAAAAAGATTTTTGGTTGTAAATGCTAACGCATACACATTTACCTAACCTTGTTATAGATACATAACATTATAGAAATTTAGTAATTATTGAAAAGAAGACATCCTAGCAAATATTTTGTAACTTTTCTTTGGATGCCCCGGCCTACCCTTGAAGCTATAATATGTGTGACTGATAATAAATGCTTTAAAACACAAGTAACCACTTAATTATTGCACAAAAACAAGCTCGGTATTTTACGTTCTTAGCATGAAGTACACAGAACAAATTAGCAAATCAAATCATATGATTTCTCGTAATCTAGCCCAAGGTTTACTATTGGGGGTGTTTGGTTGCACACTTTTATAGAAAAGTTTTCTCAAAATATCTAACAATGACAATTCTGTAATTAAAAACTTTATGTAGATTTCTGTAAATTGTGTTTGGTTCAAAAAATTTACAGAAATAGTTTCTGTAAAGTACAAAAAAGTACCAAAACTTACAGAAATCAATTTCCTCTCAAAATTGGTGGGAATTATCCAGAAATCTGACACCACATTAACATTTTTCTATAAAGTTGCCACTTTTCTATAAATTTAGGGGGTGCTTTGTTCAATTTCTACAAATTATAAAAAATCTTGCTATTTTCTATAAAGTTATGAGCCATTTTCTTGTTTTGAACCAAACAAGCAAAGTAAAAAAAAACAAAAAAAATTGGTACTTTTCGACTTAATTCTCAAAACTTTTCCTATAATTTTTTAAGAAATACAAGGAAATCATATTTTAGGTGAAAAATATTTTCTATAATTTATAGAAATTGAACCAAACACCCTTTAATTCAGATCTAAACAATTTAAGTTTACTATTTTGACGTGTAATATATAATAGTAGTTGAGGGATGATGAGTGCTACTGAATTCAGTAATTAAAACAAATACAATTTACTAGAACGGCGTATTTTACCGGAACATGAGAGTCGCGGGCCTTTCGCTTAGGATCAGTGGCGGAGAACACGGTGTAGACAAGGACGAAGGTTCCGATGATCTCGGCGGCGAGGCCGGTGCCCTTGGAGTAGCCG